CTGCTGGGATTAACACAGTAGGTCTGATTTCTTAAGGCAGGGAGATTTCCTGGTTAAAACTGTTCTAATTAAACTTACATCTCTCATAATGCTAAAAATGCCCCCGTGTGAAAGGCAGCTGAATCTGCTTGTAAAATGTCAGTGCCCAAAGACCTTTAATGGTCTTGGGAGTCTAACAATAGTATAGATAGTGCCTGTTCAAAGATAAGGGCTCCAGGCAAATGGAAGAAGGAAGCAAATATAACATTCCCCCAAATCAGACATCTTAGACAAAAATCTTCCAAGTACAAAACACATCTGGCTGTGTATTTGTCAAGTATTTTATTGGCTTGAATTTCACACACACACACACACACACACAGAGCTCACAGCAACTCCTTTCCACTGTAGATCTGGGTGGGTACCTCCATTTTCCTTTTAGGACTCAATTTTGGACCTGGGGAAAAGTGTTCTCAGTCAAAAGGCCTCCAAGCAAGCCAGGGCTGGTCATAGAGGAGAGCAACAGCTGCGGGAATTTAAATTCCTCTCCCCACCCTCCCAAACACGCCCCTCAGTCCTCTGCCTGGAGGAGCCAGAGGGAGGAATGTCCAGCTCCCCTCCCTCCCTGCCGGCTCCACTGGCATTTCCTATTACACACCAATTGCATGTGAGGAGCCGACACCACAAAGTGCTTTTTCATGTGGGCAGCGGAGCTGTGGTGGAACCGAGGCTCTCCTTTGGTCACAACCCCCCCCCAGATGTTCGTGACACTTTTGTACTCCCCTTTATGCAACACGTCAGGCGTTGGTGATAATTTACTGCCACAGGAACCGCTTCCTGCACGCTGCGAGCCACGAGCCTTTCCGGACTGCTGGCAGGCACTGAGCAGGGAAAGGGAAAGACAACAAGCAGGGGAAGGTGTCGGGAAGCAAAGAGAACCCTGTTCTCCATCAGCAGCTCCCAGGAGAGAGAGGGGGAGAAAAGCAGCAATGGCTTTGTGGATTTAGTAGAAACCAACTTCAGTTAGGAGCTAGCAATGGTCTGCCCTCATGAAGGTGAAAATAGCAAAAATATCTGGAAAGGGTATCTTAATTTAAAACTTACCTTAAAAAAAAAAACAAACAACTCCCCCAAAAAAACTAAAGCAAGTACAAAAATAAATCAGAAAGTAGACAAAGATAAGAATGGAGCCTGCAGGAATCAAGTCTGAACAAAAGGCAGGGGCTGTGAAAGGAGAAAACCACAAATGGCAGGGGTTGAAATGTAAAACCTACAGTTCACTGTGAAACATGAAGGATGCTGTTGTATTCCACACCTCCTCTTCCCGGGTGTAGCTGTCTCCACAAGATGAAGGGCAGTAATGAATCAAGCTCCTTCCCTCTTCCTGTATTTTCTATTCAATTATTCGCAGGCTGTGCAAGTTCTGCTTTATTTCCCCTCTCCATATGCCACACTCTCCTCCTGGGGTTTTTTTATTCCGAACTGTGCATTTGGCCTCTCTCCCATTCCTTTCTCCTTGGTGTGTGCCCCCTGCTCTGCCAGGATCTGCTGTCTTTGTAACCTCTGCTGTGCACATATGCTGGCTCTGCCCTCCCCTACTGCCCCCCCCCGCTCCTGGGCCACCGAGTGTCCCTTCCCTCCACTCGGCATCGGAGCCAGCCAGGAAAGGAATGATGTTCCTACGGCCACTGCTCCCGTTTCCATGCTGCCGGCTCCTCTCCACTGATCAAGGGGAACCCATGTTGCTCCCCTTGTACAGAGACAGCTCTGCAGCTGCTTAGCAACTGGGAGCTGCCGTGATGCAGCGGCACAGAAAGGCGATGGATGGCACACCTTCCCTGATCCTGCCCATTCTGGCCCACTCTGCTGCAAACCAGGGCTTGGGGAGCAGCTGGGGCACTCCCAACTGCCCTGTCAGACAATAAATCAAGATGCAAATCCTTAACTGCAGGTTAGAGAGCAATGGTGACAATGTCAAGGGCAAAACAGTCTTGGTCTTGTGTCACATCACACCAGCGAGAAGAAACTGCTCTGATTTGTAAGCTCAACTCATTCCATTTGATCTTTGTCATCAGTTTCTGGCTAAAACGTTTTATACTCCATCACTCGTAATCAGAACATTCCCTGTATGTGCTGCATGTGTTAAAAAGGCTTCCAGGTCCCCAGCTACCATCACATCCAGACTGTTTAATGATGTGTCCAGAGACACAAGTAATTTAATGCATAAATATCCTTTTAGATTACTTATTTGTATCTTCATTTCCTTTTGATGCAAGCTTTGTAAGCGCCCAGCTTCTCTAAATGGTACATTCTTTTCATTCCTTTTCTTTTTCTCTTTTTTTTTTTTCTGTAAAACTGTACTGTTCAGAGGCCATGAAGCACTGAACTGTTTTGTGATTTGATGGCTTTAGAATGCTGATTAGAATTGCCAACCTTCTTGATTTATTTCATGATTTTTATAAGCTTGAAAGCATTCTAAAAAATAACCGGTTCTACACCCTGATGGGATCACAGTGTTTCAATAGCAGCTGCATTTCAATGGGCAAGAAGCAACACAAAACATTCTGCAAGTCAGGTGTTGAAACAGCTTCTTTATTCCTTTATAGCTCAAGAATGATTAGATCTCTGAAAGCACTCACTCCCTACCTTACAGAGGTGGCTTTGTCATAATACTAACAGGTATAAAATGAACAGATCTAGCTTAAAAAGTAACAAAAAAAAAACATCTCTGGCAAATATCCAACATGTCCATCAAAAAAAAAAAAAAGTAGATGTTTGTTCCACTATTGGGTATCACCACGTATCTCTGTACCCCAGCAGCCAAACAACACAGCCAAGTAGTGATTCCCTGTCATTGCTCAAGGCTCACGTCCCATGTACCCTCAGAGCATGCTGGGACACAGGTGAAATCTGTCAGGAGGTTGCTTATTTTGGTTGACAATTCCCTAGACAGATCATCTGCTGTTCTCAGGAAGAAATGGAAAATTTCATGGCAAGAAAAACTGAACAGGCAAATACCATGTCCATATTCCTACTCAATACTCCTTTGATATTCTTAGCCTGGTTTCCTAAAAATAAAACTGGCTAATGTGACTGTGTAGTTCTATGTCATTTCCCCCCTCCAATCTCAATCAAATTTGGCAGTGGGGAAGGAGTCTCAAATGTATTTAGGTCTTGAACGAACAGCTGAGTAGAGAATACATAGTAGAGGCACCACCTCTAAAAAAAGCCATCTAACAGGAAGGTCTCAAAATGCACTTTGTAACCACTGTGTCCTAGAGGCGTCACCTCTCCCTTATGGGTCTGCAACCACCTGCTTTGGGCCTTAGGTTATTTAATGGCTACATAATAGACACCAGGGCAAGCAAACGTTGCAGTGTGCTTCCTGGCTCCCTTCCAGCTCCTAAGCTGGGCTTTCTTCCCATGAAACTGGGGTGTGGCAAGGGATGTTGTACAACCAGACCTCCTCCTGACACAATATTGACACGGCTCAGGTGTGTGTACACACACCCGGAACCAGGAAACACCCACAGTGGAGACACAACCAGTTGTTTATCTGGAGAAAATACAAAATCACGACCAACCAACTTGGTAGGTGACATTTTGCAGTAGCAGGAGGGGGTAATTAAGAAAAATGATTAAAAAAAAAAAAAGCCATTGCAAGCAAGAACGTTAAGGGCTTGTCCTTTTCAAGAGGAATAAGTGTAAAGCCATACATGCAGAACAAAGAGCACAAACCTACAGCACAGGGTTGTCATCCTAAGAAGGAGCAGATCTGAGAGTATTTTAGGAGCCGTGCTGGGAAACCAGCTGAACATGGGCTGGTGTAATCCCTGGATTCCTGACAGAGACAGCTCAGCCAGGAGAGCTGTTGGCTTGGGTCTGATCTCCGCCGAGGGCTCCATCCCCTTCTGCCCAGATCAAAATGGTGACAAACTGTAGCGTTCACAGGCAGGAACAATTCCAGGATTAGTAAAGATGGACCCGAGGGGGAGCTCTGCAGTCTGCAATGGAGTATCAAATGCTCAGCCTGAGCACAGCTACACAGGGATGAAAATCTGCCCATGGAGCATTCCTCCACCAAGCAGACTGAAGGGCAGAGACATCCAGCAACTGAAAACAGAAACTAGACAAGTTTAAAAAGGTACTTTGATTTCTAGTCTGGCAGGTAGATTTTGATGGAAAAAATTTACTCTTATTTTACTCCCTCTCACAGCCCATTTTAAAATGAAAATCTGACCTTTATCTAAGATGCAGGCATGCTGCAGTTAAATTCTTTCAAATGAGAAAAAGTAACAAATTCACAAAAATCCCGAGACGTACATAATGCAGGAAGTCGAACCAGATGAACCTTGGTCTCTTTTGTCTTTTATAATCTGTTAATCTAGTTTCCTTGCACAAGCAATGGATTGTGACTTGAAAAGCTTCAATATAAAGGATTCTGTGTACAAGGCAGCCTAAAACAAAATGTTGTAAACAGTCAGGATCATTGTTTAGCAGAACAGCTGCATATTTTTTATTTCACTTTGCCTCTCAATCTAATTTGCTCTTGTTGCAACACTTTGCCAAAGAAATTAAATCACTTCTTATTGATAACAGACAGTGATATAATTAGCATAAGAGTTTTCCACTCAACAATGCCGGGGAGGGACGCTGCGGGCAAGAACAAACCCCTTTGCTTCAAGAATGTGCACAGAGTCACCACAAGCTGTTCAGAGAAAAAAAACCTTTTTTTTTTTTCTCCTTCTCCCTGAAAGATCTCTTTCTTTATCTAAAGAGTCTCATGCAGCACACCAGGGTCAGTCTAACCCAAGTATGAAAGTCTGGTTTGACCTTTCTGGGATTTAAACACGCTGTACCAGAACATTTTGCTTTTCAGATACGAGGTTCAGCAGCCATGAAACCACCCACTCTGAGAGCACAACCGGTCTCAACTGCCTTGGCGACTTTTAAACTACATTGAACATTATAGTCATTCAGAAACTCTAAAAAACGGAAAGAAATTTTCATCTCAGACTTACAAAACCCATTTCCAGAAGTGCTGAGGACCCATACAATTCACTGGGGGGGCACGGCGGGCTCGCTGTCCAGCCCCCGCTGCCCCAGCAATTTCTGGCCCTGGTTTGCACGTACGCAGAGCCAGGCACAGGCGTTAGGACCTCTCCCAGCTGGAGCACTTCATGGATCCTACCATCGGGAACAGCCGTCCTGGACAATGATTAATCGCAGACAAAGATCAGAGTCCTGGAAAAATATGCAGAGAGATGCAAGTACAGACAAAGCTGTCTAAGCTCCCACAGTATTATGGTCTGGCTGTGTCGCTTCAAAGCCTTGCGTTAGGCAGAGCTGGTTTGCTTCAGGGTTAAACAGACCAATGTTACTCGTAAATGCAGGTATTGCTAACAGCCAAATATATATTTAAACATAAATTTTAAATCCCAGGAAAGTTAATAGCCCGATGCCGTTTAAAACTTGCTTTCTTTTTAATCGCTTCACGTGCTGACTTAACTCACTACGATGCAAGCTGCAGAAACGTTTTCACTACAGTTCAAACCCCCCTGCAAAGCCGAGCCCAGCTCTGCGCCGTACTTTGATCTACACGTCGCCAGCTTCGGCCATTTCCAGGAAGCTGAAATGCTTTTCACCTCTATTGAGAAATACCAGAGGAGCATTTTAATGGTGTTCTGCTAAGAATAACGTCACCGTTCCTTCCGATTTTGCTGGCAGATGGTCACTGAGAGCCGCTGTGACCCAGGCTCAGCGCTGGCTCCAGCGGCTCGGGCGGCCCCGGCCCGGGAGCCCCCGACGGGGCTCACAGCGCTGAGGCAGCGCTTCAGAGCCAGCCTGGCACTGCGGAAACGCTTTTGTTGGTTGTTTTTGTTGGTATTTTTTTCCCCCTCCATGGAAACGTGTTCTGTTTTGTGCGGACGGTTTGTCGCTTGTTCTCGACAGAGCCTGACCCGGTGAGGAGCGAGGGGGGGAGCGAGGAATGGAGCGATGAGCGCAGTCGTTGCGAAAGGCGCGGGGCTGCGGTGCCTCCTTCGCGGCAGCACCCAGTGCTCTCCCTCGCAGGGGAACAGCCCTGAGCCTCGGCACATACCACAGCACAGGCTGTACAAACCCACGGAGCGGCTGGTTCTGAGCCGCAGGAACTGCGGGCAGGGCGCGCCCTGCCCGCAGTTCCTGCGGCTCAGAACCAGCCGCTCCGTGGGTTTGTACAGCCTGTGCTGTGGTATGTGCCGAGGCTCAGGGCTGTTCCCCTGCGAGGGAGAGCACTGGGTGCTGCCGCGAAGGAGGCACCGCAGCCCCGCGCCTTTCGCAACGACTGCGCTCATCGCTCCATTCCTCGCTCCCCCCCTCGCTCCTCACCGGGTCAGGCTCTGTCGAGAACAAGCGACAAACCGTCCGCACAAAACAGAACACGTTTCCATGGAGGGGGAAAAAAATACCAACAAAAACAACCAACAAAAGCGTTTCCGCAGTGCCAGGCTGGCTCTGAAGCGCTGCCTCAGCGCTGTGAGCCCCGTCGGGGGCTCCCGGGCCGGGGCCGCCCGAGCCGCTGGAGCCAGCGCTGAGCCTGGGTCACAGCGGCTCTCAGTGACCATCTGCCAGCAAAATCGGAAGGAACGGTGACGTTATTCTTAGCAGAACACCATTAAAATGCTCCTCTGGTATTTCTCAATAGAGGTGAAAAGCATTTCAGCTTCCTGGAAATGGCCGAAGCTGGCGACGTGTAGATCAAAGTACGGCGCAGAGCTGGGCTCGGCTTTGCAGGGGGGTTTGAACTGTAGTGAAAACGTTTCTGCAGCTTGCATCGTAGTGAGTTAAGTCAGCACGTGAAGCGATTAAAAAGAAAGCAAGTTTTAAACGGCATCGGGCTATTAACTTTCCTGGGATTTAAAATTTATGTTTAAATATATATTTGGCTGTTAGCAATACCTGCATTTACGAGTAACATTGGTCTGTTTAACCCTGAAGCAAACCAGCTCTGCCTAACGCAAGGCTTTGAAGCGACACAGCCAGACCATAATACTGTGGGAGCTTAGACAGCTTTGTCTGTACTTGCATCTCTCTGCATATTTTTCCAGGACTCTGATCTTTGTCTGCGATTAATCATTGTCCAGGACGGCTGTTCCCGATGGTAGGATCCATGAAGTGCTCCAGCTGGGAGAGGTCCTAACGCCTGTGCCTGGCTCTGCGTACGTGCAAACCAGGGCCAGAAATTGCTGGGGCAGCGGGGGCTGGACAGCGAGCCCGCCGTGCCCCCCCAGTGAATTGTATGGGTCCTCAGCACTTCTGGAAATGGGTTTTGTAAGTCTGAGATGAAAATTTCTTTCCGTTTTTTAGAGTTTCTGAATGACTATAATGTTCAATGTAGTTTAAAAGTCGCCAAGGCAGTTGAGACCGGTTGTGCTCTCAGAGTGGGTGGTTTCATGGCTGCTGAACCTCGTATCTGAAAAGCAAAATGTTCTGGTACAGCGTGTTTAAATCCCAGAAAGGTCAAACCAGACTTTCATACTTGGGTTAGACTGACCCNCGCAGCCTCTCACATAATAAACCCACCAGACTTCGGCGGGGAGGCCATTTCGTGGGCTGGGTGGCGGCACTAAAGCACAACTGCTTGTGAATATCAACTGCGTCACGGCTCCTCCATCTGTAACACTCAGGCTGCAAAGGGTCCCTCACTTGGAAGGAAACTCCCTCATTTTGGATTTACTTCCAGACCTCCTTTTCCCCCCCTCTCTCCAAGTCACTGCCTCTCGGTATGAAGGATTTTACAGTGCTTTCTAGTGAGACATCCGCCATTAAGACTCACCGTCGTGAAAAACACCCCCTCCCATTTTGTTGCCTGTTTTTTGTCGAGCTTCTGTAATTAGACGGATAAAACATGTAAGGGATCCCTACCACCACCACCACCGCCTTCTCGCCTTTTTTAACGTCAACCTCACTAACATCTTACTGTTTCACAGGCAGATTTTTTATTTTTTTTGGTGCTTTCAAGTTAACAGCCACGTAACGCCTGCAATGGATCCACAGCGTTTCTCCGCATAAAAAACCAAACCACCCAGGGCTGAGGACGGACCAAGAGCTTTGTGCAGAAAGAGAAATCAAATCCCTCCCTGAGAACAGACGTTTCAGAGGCACTGTTAGATGTTTCTGAGGAGAAGGAGATCGCCACCGCTTTCAGACGACCATTGGGATCTTTCCACCCAGGACAATACCATTAGCCACAGGCCTGGGCTATATGTTCCTCTGCAAGGGCAAAAGGGTTTTACTTACTTACCCGCGCACCATAGTTGAATGCAGCTCTGAAGGTGAAGTTGTTACTCTTTTTTAAAATAACGGCTATAAATATATATGATCTGTATCACCACTTCTCTCGTAAGTTTGCAAGCCAAAGCGTATCTTGTTAAGATAAGTTATGGATCTTTGTATGGCAGTGGTCTAGCATCAAAAAACGAAAAAAAAAGGGGAAAAAAGCTATAGAAAAAGTTGTCCAGCTATGTTGACTGACCGTACGCAGCGAGGACTCCTGCTCAAGGCTTAAATCTACCTTCCTGTGGCAGATTTACTCTGTACATAAAAAGGACGTTCAGTGTTTTTCCACAGAGCACGCAGACACTAAAAATATTCTTCCTCAATAGTTTTAGGCTGCACATGTCAGTGTGAAAACACCTAGTTAACATTTACTGGTTCTAAACAACTTATAAGCATAGCTTGGCTAGGTATTTTGCTTTATAAGTAAAATATTTCAAAAAAGCATAAATTGGTTTAAACAGATAAAAACATAAGACATGCAAATGAAGGCTTAGCAATAAGGACCACTCCAGTAACATTAACATGAAAACTACACTTAGCAAGGACAGAATGGATTGGGTACTTACAACATAAGAAAAAAGAAAAAAAGCTTATAATAGTAAAATTGCCTTATTTTTTGCCAGAA